GACCAGGATGGTCTCGATCTCTTGACCTCGTGATCCACCCGCCTCGGCCTCCCAAAGTGCTGGGATTACAGGCTTGAGCCACCGCGCCCGGCCCACATAATATCTTTTTGATGTCACCTTTCAACCTAAGCTGAATCTGGTGACTCTCATGGCTTACACAGCTCCTCTGCTCACTCCCCTCCCTAACAGCCCTGATCTCTCTCTGAACTGTAAGCCTTTACTCACTTAATCTGTCTCCCCTCTAGACTCTGAGCCCCTTGAGGGCTGGGGCAGTCTAGCTGCACCCTCACCATACTTAGCACACAATAGGTACTTACCAAATGTGTGCTGAAATGAACAGAAATGGGAAGGCCTGATCCAGTTCCCTACATCATTCTGGCCAGGGCTGGGCTTGAATCCATGTCTCTTGCTTTAAGGTTGAAGACAACTCTCCCTGCCCTCTCATTCTCCTGATCAATGGCCAAAGGCCAAAATCAACCCAGATCATAGCTAAATATAAATTTGCTTTTCTGATCTAGGACCCAAATTAATGTATTTTGTTTTTCTCAAAGGTACCCTGTTATTTTCTAGAGCAGTTCAAGCCGACTAACCCACAAATCTTAACACTCAAGGGAGACTGGGGGCCCTGCTGGATCACAGGGGGCTCAAACTGGATCCAGAGGTGAGGAACTGGCGAGCTGTGGGCAGTTCACATTCTTCTGTGTGTGGGGGGTGGGGGTGGGGTGGGAGTGTTCAGTGGGGAACACTGAGGCTGGATTTTGCAGGGGCCAGAAAAGGAAGGGAGGATATGGCTTACACAAGTTCTGCCAAATCTACCATGCAACCCCCTTACAGCCTTTCTTTCATTCATCCACTCATTCATCCATTCAAGCAGGGGATGTGACAGTGAGGCAGATCCACAAGGTCCCAGTCTTTATGATGCTTCTGTTCCAATCCACTTTGGGATAAGCAGAGTCCCTTAGTAATATGAGGGGGTTCCAAGCAGAAAGGACCTCCCTGGCTCCCCGTGCCAGACAGACATCACATAAGGATGCTCGGGGCTTCTGCTGTGTTTAATGGCAGCCCCTTCCTTGGCTCTGGGACTCAGGCCCAAGTCCAGAACTGGTTTGAGGCTGGTGGTTAATCTGAGAATGCAACAGGAGATGCTCTGCTGTGCTCCCCAGCAGGGGCCCAGGGGCTCCTCAATTCTTTCTCTCAGCTGAATTCTCACCCAGCAGGCTCTAGACCCCATCTAAGCAATTACTAGTTGAGACCGGACCCACAGCCACCAGGAGGTGTGTGAGGCCCAAAAGGCCATCAACTCCGACAAATACTTGCAAGATGCCCTCTGGGTGGCCGGCTCTGGGTCAGTTACCCTGAGGGGGGTATGCCCAGAACCAGAAAGGAAGGGCACTCTTCTGCTTTCTAGAGCTGGGGTCTCCATGAAAGAGTTCTTGAAGGATGGAATGACCAGGCCTGGGCAAACTCTGACTTTTAGACAATTCTGGAGTGTGGGTACAGATGATCAGTGCTTGGCTGGTCAGAAAAGGGAAAGTCAGGAATGTGGGGGGAAGTGAAAATAAAATGTTTCTATTCTCTAAATTCACAATAGGGTTGATGAGGGAGCAGCCAGGCTCAGTGGCTCACATCTGTAACTCCAGCCTTTTGGGAGGCCACGGTGGAAGGATCGCTTGAGGCCAGGAGTTGGAGACCAGCCTGGGTAACATAGCAAGACCCTGTCTCTACAAAAAATATGTAAATTAGCAGGGTGTAGGGGCACATGCCTGCAGTCCCAGCTACTACACTCAGAAGGCTGAGGTGGGAGGACTGCTTGAGCCCAGGAGTTTGAGGCTGCAGTGTGCCACGATCATGCCACTGCATTCCAGCCTGGATGACACAGCCAGGCTCTGTCTTAAAAAAAAAAAAAAAAAAAAAAAAAAGACAGGATATTTTAACTCCCAATGAGTAGGAAAGATATAATGTCAGATTAAAATGACTGTGTTCTCATCGATCGAGGTGGTTCATGCCGATAATCCAAGCACTTTGGGAGACCGAGGCGGGTGGATCACTTGAGGTCAGGAGTTCGAGCTTCCAAACACTGTGAAATCCGTCTTTACTAAAAATGCAAAAATTAGCCTGGTGTGGTGGTGCATGTCAGTAGTCCCTGCTACTCTGGAGGCTGACGCAGGAGAATCACCTGAACTAAGGAGGCGGAGGTTTAAGTGAGCTGAGATCCTGTCATTGTACTCCAACCTGAGTGACAGAGGGAGACTCTGTGTCAAAAAAAAAAAAAAAAAAAAAAGATTGTGTTCTCCAAATCCGAGCCCCACCCTCTCCCACAAAAGGACAGCTGACAATCTTGCATGATTCCCAAAGCCTGGATTACATCAACCACTGGGCGGATATTAAGACCCAGCTCTGGCATTCCGTTCCAAGGCCTCTGTGTGCCCTCGGAGTAGCCATGATGAGCAAAGCTCACCCTCCCGAGTTGAAAAAATTTATGGACAAGAAGTTATCATTGAAATTAAATGGTGGCAGACATGTCCAAGGAATATTGCAGGGATTTGATCCCTTTATGAATCTTGTGATAGATGAATGTGTGGAGATGGTGACTAGCAGACAACAGAACAATATTGGAATGGTGGTAATACGGGGAAATAGTATCATCATATTAGAAGCCTTGGAATGAGTATAAATAATGGCTGTTCAGCGGAGAAACCCATGTCCTCTCTCCATAGGGCCTGTTTACTATGATGTAAAAATTAGGTCACGTACATTTTCATATTAGACTTTTTGTTAAATAAACTTTTGTAACAGTCAAAAAAAATTTTTAAAAAAGGACCCAGATCTGAGGAAAGGAGAGGTTCTTGGAATCCCACAGGGCTGCCCAGTCCTCACACGCATCCGGGTGTTTGCTCACCATGCTTCCCATGGCACTCTGACACTCACGCTCATTATTCACACTCAGGTTAGGCATCTCCTCCTTCCAGCAGGGCTGGCTTCATGGGGGGAGACCTGTGAGGCCACAGAGCCCTGTGCTCAGTAGGGCCCTGTGCTTGGTTTAATGCTCTGCTACTGCCATCTTGAAATCTGAATGAGAAGCCTTGCATTTTCGTTTTGCACTGGGCCGTACAAATAATGTAGCATGATTCCATAACATCTTTTTCTTTTTTAAAGAATTTTATTGGCCGGGCGCGGTGGCTCATGCCTGTAATCCCAGGACTCTGGGAGGCCAAGGCGGGCGGATCACCTAAGGTCGGGAGTTCAAGATCAGCCTGACCAACATGGTGAAACTCTGTCTTTAAAAAAAAAAAAAGAATTTTATTAACCGTACTACTCCTTGCAAAGTAGGGTGAATTCATAGGCAGTGTGCCCAGAGTTGGCCCATAGTATCTTTTTTTTTTTCCACTCAGAAAACGATTCGGTTTCAATGCACATAATATCTT